CAAAGGAAAACTTCTCATCTCGACCCTACCAGCCACGATCACACACCCGCGCCATTTTTTTTTGCCAGGCCCGCACGCCATCTTGTCGGGACCCCATTTTGTTGCCCCTCCCACGAAAGCCACCAGACAATAAAACCGCTGGGCAGCTATGGGAGCAGCCAATCAAATCGCCGGGCAGCTATGGGAGCAGCCAATCAAATCGCTGGGCAGCTATGGGAGCAGCCAATCAGAGCTCAGCTTCCCCCACCCCTCCCCCGACCACGCCCCCCGGCCACGCCCCTGGCGCCAGTCTGTGACGTCACGTCTGTCGCCCCATAGTCCTCCCATATACTACTCTTACAAGAGAACGAAACATGGACCCTCGTACCTAGATCAGCCGATAAGAAGGTCTTAACCAACCGATGGGTATTTAAGACCAAAGCCGTTCAAGATAGCGAGATCAAGAAATACAAGGCACGACTAGTAGCTCGAGGAAACACCCAGGAATGGGGAATAGACTACGAGGAAGTCTTTGCCCCTGTAGTAGAGGTACGAAGGTAGCGAGGTACGAAACAATTCGCACGTTACTCGCCGCCTCTGTAAATGAAGAAATGCACGTACACCAAATGGACGTGATCTCAGCATACGTACAAGGAGAATTGAACGACGAAATATATATGGAACAACCCGAGATGTTCATTAAACGTGGGCACGAAGAAAAGGTTTGTAAGTTGCTCAAACCGTTGTACGGGCTAAAGCAATCAGGTCGAGAATGGTATAGAAAGCTCGACAACTATATCATGGAAATAGGCGGTAGACGCACATCGGCGGATCCCTGTGTCTACGTAATTGGTAAAGATGAAAAACGAGTCATCATCATCATTTATGTGGATGATTTAATTTTGGCTTCAAAGAAGATGGACAGACTCGAAAATGTCAAATTAAAATTGAAGTCAATGTTCATGGTGGACCTTGGTCAAATAAATAACATTCTTGGAATAAGCGTGCAACGCGAAGGTGCGACCGGAAGAATACATCTTTCACAGAAGAAGTACGTTGAAGATTTAATCAAAAAATTCGACATGGAACATGCGAAAGCGGTATCGACACCAATCGAGTCAAACTTGAAAATCACTAAGGAAGCGAGCCTGTCAACAGAAGAGGAAAGACAAGAAATGAAGAATCTACCTTATAGGGAGCTAATCGGCGGACTGATCTACCTAGCGAACGCCACCCGTCCCGACATAGCGTTCGCAGCCAGCACATTAAGTCGGTTCTGTGCGGACCCAGGAAGAGATCATTGGCTCATTGCGAAGCGCGTGTTACGCTATCTAAAGGCAACGCCCCATTACGGAATCACGTACACCAAGGATAAGGAACGTCTAAGAGCGTACTCTGATTCGGACTGGGCAGGAGACATCGACGATCGCAAATCGTGTTCAGGCAACGTCTTAACATTGACTACGAGCCCAATCAGCTGGAAATCAAGAAAGCAAGCATCCGTGGCTTTGTCGACAATGGAGGCAGAATACGCGGCGCTTTCAGAGGTTTCACGCGAAGTGATCTACCTCAAGCGACTATTGATTCATATGGGTTTTGAGAAATACGTAACACCCCCAATCAGCGTGTTCTGCGATAACCAAAGTGCAATTGAACTGTCAAAGAATGCTGTGTTCCATAAGCGGAGCAAGCATATCGATATTAATTTTCATTTTACGCGCGAGCGTAAAGTGATAAGAAGGAAATTGTGATTCATTATTTACAAACAGATTCGATGATTGCCGACGTACTTACCAAATCGTTAACTAAATGTAAACACAACAGGTGTGTGCAAATGTTAAATCTAAATCCTATTATTTGCTAATAGAGATCTTGTCGATAGAGGGAGTGTTAGAACCCCGCGAGAAGTATCGAAAAGATCTCTTGTATTTAGGTCTAAGTTGTATTAGTCTAAGAGAGCACACGGCGCTCGCGTATGTCACAGGCATAAGCTTTTGAGTTTTTCCCCTCTTGAATACAGCTTGCCTATGTTCTTCTTCTTTCCCCCCTTTTGGCCTCGCGACACTCGCCGCGCCAGTGCGCTACTCGATACACGTGTTCTTCTGTATCCGCGGACAAGCGATAGTTGCTTTCCGTATTAATTTGTTATACACGTAATACAAGTACTTGTATACTAAGTCGTGTGTAGTGCTTTCAACAGCCTAAATCCCTGTCAACACCCACCTCCAATAACCTTGGACTTGACATATATTGTAGAGGTCACCCACCTGAGTGACCAGCAAAAGATTTTAGCCTGCGGACGTTGTGTGTTAAAAAGTTATTAAAAAAACAATGTCGACCAATTATATGTAATTTTCAGACACAAATATTAAAAATTTTGAAAAATGCGTAATTATTTAGATTAGGACACCCACCTCCAATAACCATGGGCTTGACATATCCCTGCTAAAAATACCCGATTCAAACCGATAGATATCGCATTGATTTCTATAAAAATTAATCGGTTTCAATTCGATATCAATCGGGCCAATCGGGCACCGGAAATGCAAGATCAATCGGATTCAATCCGTAATCTGATTCAATCTGGTATTTCCAGATAGAATTGAAGCGGTAACAATCGGTTTCTATCGGTTTTTCTGACAAAGTCTGTCAATCGTTTTTAACACAACTTTTCCGGATTGACTTGAATCCGCGCCAATCGGTTCCAATCGGTGGACTTTTGTCTGAATTGTCTATCGTTTTTAATGCAATTTTTCCGGATTGACTTTAATCCGCGCTAATCGGTTCCAATCGGCGAACTTTTGTCTGAATTGTCTATCGTTTTTAACGCAATTTTTCCGGATTGACTTGAATCCGTGCCAATCGGTTCCAATCGACGAACTTTTATCTAAATTGTCTATCGTTTTTAATGCAATTTTTCCGGATTGACTTGAATCCGAATCAATCTGGTCCAAACGGTAAACTACCTTTTATGCTTTGAACGTCATTTTCAATACAACATTTGCAAATTGAATTTGGTCCGTGGTAACCAATTTTAATCGAAAAATTTTGAAATAAGACGTCACTTGTTTTTAACGCGACATTTCTGAATCGATTTAAATTTGCAAAAATCGGTTCCGGTCGTGAATTTCTAAATAATTCGACATCATTTTCAAATCAACATTTTCCATGGTTGATTTGGATTTGCGCTAATAACTGTTCAGTGATTTTGGCTTTCAGGCTTTCGCGGCTGTTGTCTTCTTTAGTCGTCATGGCTTCCGGATGGTTGCCGCGTCCGTTTGCAGTGTGGTGCCGACGTTTCGCAGGCGTTGCAGTCTGCTTCATCAGGGCTGGGAGACTCTGATACTGAGCTCCCTCGCGTTGCGCTAGTCCTTTTATACTCGTTCTTGGGGGGAGGGAAGGGGGGTCAGGGGGAGGGGGTGGTCAGAGGGAGGGGGTCAACCTATGCCGGCTGACAGTTTTTTTTTAAACCGGGAGGGCGGTGTGCCATATCGGGCTCACCTGATAGCCTTTGTCGCGATTCAGATTGTCAGGGTGTTTCAAGATTTCTATGCCTTCGCGGTGTTTTCGTGCGAAATAGCTTTGGGACGGGGCCAGCATGGTGGCTTTGTCGAACTGGATGGCGTGTCCGGTCTCGATCTTGTGTTCGGCTAGAGCTGATTGTGAGAAGTGGCCGTATTTGGTACATCGCTGGTGTTCCTTGATTCGTGTACTAATCTTCCTCCCGGTTTCTCCTATGTACGCTTTGCCGCAGGAGCATGGGACCTTGTAAACCCCTGGGGCTGTCAAAGGGGGTCTCCGGTCCTTGGGATTAGGGAGCATTTGTGAGAGCTTGTTGCAAGGTTTGAAGATCGCTTTGATGTTGTGTTTGTTCAGAATTCTGCTGATGCGGTCCGTGGTGCCTCTGACGTATGGGAGTACTACTGCCTTAATCTTCTCTTTCTCTGTCTCTGGCGTCGTGTTGTTGTTCTGGCCGGATTCCTTGTTGGTCAGCTTCTTGATGGTACGGTTGATGTTTCTGCTGCTGTATCCGTTCCTGGTCAGGGTTCGGTGAAGGTGGTTTAGCTCTCCGTTCAGGGCGGCTGGTTCCGAGATGGAGAGTGCTCTGTGGACTAGAGAGCTGATTACCGAATTCTTTTGGGCGGGGTGATGGTGGGAGTTTGCGTGGAGGTATCGGTCCGTGTGTGTTGGTTTGCGGTAGACGTTGTGGCTTAGGGTGCCGTCTTCGTTCCTACGGACCAGGACATCCAGGAAGGGGATTTGGGAATTCTGTTCGGTCTCCATTGTGAATTGGATGTTGGGATGTTGGGAGTTAATGAAAGTGAGGAAATGAGGTAGAGTTTCCCTTCCGTGGTTCCAGATGACGAAGGTGTCGTCCACGTACCGGAACCATGTGGAGGGTTTTAGTGGGGCCTTCTTCAGGATTTCATTCTCGAAATGTTCCATAAAGATGTTTGCAATGATGGGTGATATCGGGGATCCCATTGCTGCTCCCGTGGTTTGTTCGTAGAATTCTCCTTCGAACCGGAAATAGGTGGAGTTGAGGCAGTGTTCTATTAATGGGAACAGGGTGGATGGAATCTCTTTGGATGTTCTGATGATGTCCAGAGTGTCTTGGGCTGGGACGTTGGTGAACAGGGAAACCACGTCGAAGCTTGCCAGGATGTCGTTGGGCTTGGTTTTTATCTTGGTTACTCTGTTCACGAAGTCCATTGAGTTCCTGATGTGGGAGTCGTTGAGGCTGGTAAGTTTTTGGAGGGGTTTGGTGAGGTAGCTGGCTAGTTGGTAGGTGGGGTCCCCGATGTTGCTGACGATAGGCCGTAGGGGGACTGATTCTTTGTGGATCTTCGGGAGGCCATATAGTCTGGGTGCTGAGCTGTCGCTGGGGATCAGGTATTTCGTGGTTAGCGGAGGGAGGTTCGCCTTTTTGATCAGGGAGGAGGTTTTCTTCTCTACGCTAGTGGTTGGATCGCGTTTTAGTTTTTTGTAGACTTGGGCGTCGGACAGCAAGGTGTTGACTTTGTTGTGGTAGTCTTTTTTGTCCATCACCACTGTTGTGTTGCCTTTGTCCGCCGGTAGGATGAGGATGTCGTCATTCTGTCTTAGGCTTCGAAGCGCTAGTCGTTCTTCCCTGTTAATGTTTTGGATGGGAAGTTTGGCTTTTCGGAGGATCTGGGCTGACTGCTGTCTGATGTTTCCTGCTTCAGGTGGGAGATGGAAGATGGCGGTTTCTATTTGGCTGATGATCTCTTCTGTCGGGATCCTGGAGGGGGTGACTGCAAAGTTGTGTCCTTTGGCAAGGATGGCTGTTTCGGCGGGTGAAAGGGTCTGACTACTAAGGTTCTTTACTGTCAGGGGAGGAGCTGCTGTTTGCGTGTGTGGTTTCATTTTGCAAATTTTTCTTTTTTTGTTTTGGTTCTTAATTCTGCCGAGCGGGTGGCTTGCTCGTGTGTGATCCGGTCTATGGTTTGCCACAGGTCCGGTTCTAGTTTGTCGGAGAGGGATAGATGTAGCTCGAGAAGTTTTTTGGAAGTCTCGGCTAGGCCCTTTTTGGTTGTCGCGATTCTCTCCCTGAGTAGTCTCAGCGACGCTAGTTTCAGGATGGCTGTGGATTGTTTGGAGGGCGGGAAGGGGCTTTTTATTTGTAGGAATTTCGGTACCGTCTGGTGGTCGCGGCACCGTTTCAGGAATGCTAAGGAGCACAGTTGTAAGTGCAAGGACTTCCTAAGTTTTGTGAAAAGGTTTAGCGACCCGAGAGTTGCCTTTCCGTGGAGGCTTGTAATCTTGGCTTTCAGGCTTTCGCGGCTGTTGTCTTCTTTAGTCGTCATGGCTTCCGGATGGTTGCCGCGTCCGTTTGCAGTGTGGTGCCGACGTTTTGCAGGTGTTGCAGTCTGCTTCATCAGGTCTGGGAGACTCTGATACTGAGCTCCCTCGCGTTGCGCTAGTCCTTTTATACTCGTTCTTGGGGGAGGGAAGGGGGGATCAGGGGGAGGGGGTGGTCAGAGGGAGGGGGGTCAGCCTATGCCGGCTGACAGTTTTTTTTAAAAAGTTCAGTGATTATTTTGACTTCAAATTGAACATAGTAGTTTCTCGATAAATATAAATAAATTGGTTTGAAAGAAAAGAAATGCAATAAATAAGTTTAAACTTATATTGAAAAAATTTATTAGTTTTGTCAAGGGTTTAACATCAGGTTTTATTATAATAAATAACAAATATAATAAACAACTAGTTTTAGTCGGACATTTTTAAGATATAGCTAACTTAAATACAAACTAGACCGCTTAATATTCTCAGATCCAGGGCAAGCTGGAGGAAACCTAATAAATATTTTTAAAACTAATACGTGAATTCTCATGTACCGTATTTTTCCAACCTATCCTGCGCGCTGTTACTTTCGGACATACAATAACGCAGGTGTTTTTAGTTAGGTGGAATCATTATCATCAGAAAATTCACGTATTATAAAATCGCAAGGACGATTTTATAATTATTTTTCAATGCTATACTTAGCATTCAATATAATAACTCCCTCCCCGTACTGAAATTAAATGTCTTATTGCGAAAAATATTACCTCAGCCAGGATTCGAACCTGGCACCTCTAGCTCTTAATCCGTGACGGGCGTCTTAGCCCACTCGACCACTAAGGCTGTGATAATACTGCTCGCAATAATCGGCATAATACCTAAAGGAACGCTTATCTAGGCCGCGTATGTATAAACAACTAAAGTTTTAATTGGAGCTTCTTAAGATATAACTTAAATACAAACTAGAACGCCTAATACTCTCAGGCTCAGGGCAAATTGGAGGTAGACTAATAATTATTTTTAAAACTAATACGTGAATTCTCATATACCGTATTTTTCCAACCTATCCTGCGCGCTGTTACTTTCGGACATACAATAACGCAGGTGTTTTTAGTTAGGTGGAATCATTATCATTAGAAAATTCACGTATTATAAAATCGCAAGGATGATTTTATAATTATTTTTCAATGCTATACTTCTTAGCATTCAATATAATAACTCCCTCCCCGTACTGAAATTAAATGTCTTATTGCAAAAAATATTACCTCAGCCAGGATTCGAACCTGGCACCTCTAGCTCTCAATCCGTGACGGGTGTCTTAGCCCACTCGACCACTAAGGCTGTGATAATATTGCTCGCAATAATCGGCATAATACCTAAAGGAACGCTTATCTAGGCCGCGTATGTATAAACAACTAAAGTTGGACTTTTTAAGATATAACTTAAATACAAACTAGAACGCCTAATATTCTCAGGCCCAGGGCAAGTTGGAGGTAGCCTAATAATTATTTTTAAAACTAATACGTGAATTCTCATATAACGTATTTTTTCAACCTATCCTGCGTCCCGTTACTCTTGGACATACAGTGCCTACCGAAAGTTCTGGGCCACCTAAATAATTTTTGAATGATTTGAAATATAGGAATGAATTTTATAGGGATATAATAGGATCACAAAGTCTATTATTTAACACCAAAAACACCCACCTTCACACCTCTGGGGGACGAAGGGAGGGGGAGCCAAGAAATCTTAAATGGCATGTGAGGTTAAGTGAGGGCTCGTTCGGAAGTACTTTCCGAGACGAAAACAACCCGAGGTTGCCGAGGTCTCTACAATTTTTTTTTCGCAGAGTTATTTGAACATTTCTATTGAGATTTTGCGATAGCGAGGACCCACGGCGACAACAGAAGGAAGATAAAGCTTCACGTGGGCACGCGCCTTCCTGAGTGCATGTGTACGAGAGTGAGTGCATGCGTGCGTATGTATGTACGTGAGTGAGTGAGTGTGCATATGCGTGTGCGTGTCACAACAAAGAGGACAGGAAGGAAGAGGAGGAGAGGGGAGAAGAGCAGAGAGAAGAGAAGTGGCAGAGGACAAGGACGGATGTGGAAAGGAGGAAGGGGAGGAGAGAGGAAAGAGGGGGAGAGGAGGGGAAAAGAGAGGAGAATGATGAGGGGAGTAGAGAGGTGGGAGGGGACAGGTGAGGAAAGGATAGAAAGGAGAAGAAGAGAAAGAAAGAGAGAGAAGATGAGAAAAAGAGGAATAGGTGGAAGGAGGAGGAGGGTGAGACGGAGACGGTGACAAGTGGAGAGGGGGGAAGGGAGGAGAGAAGGAGGAGGAGATTGATATGGAGAGAGCGCGCGCGCACACACACACACACACACACACACACACACGCGCGCGCGCGCGCACACATGCACGCACACACATGCACGCACACACATGCACGCACGCACGCACGCGCGCGCGCGCACACACACACACACACACGCGCGCACACACACATGCACACACGCAAATGCACACATGCACACACGCGCACGCACACATGCACGAACACACGCGCGCACACACATACACGCACACACACACGCACGCATACATGCACACACGCGCACACATACACGCACGCACACACGCACGCACGCACGCACGCACACGCATGCTCACACGCACGCACACACGCGCACACGCACGCACACATGCACGCACGTACTCTCGTACACACACTGCAAAAAAATTTACTTAAATCAAGAAAATATATTTCTTTGAATTTAGTTTCCTAAATTTAAAGAAATATTTGTAGATTCAAGAAAACGTTTTTCAAATTCAAAAAAATATGTTCTTAAATATATAATATAATTTTTTAACATCATGAGTATTTTGATTTAAAAAATATTTTTTAAATTTTAAACGTAACATGAAAAGTGATATCTTTAACATAAATAAATTAATTTCTTTAAATATAAAAATTGTATTTAAATAAATATTTGTTTGTTTTAAACATAAGTAAAAGGCAACTAAACTATTTTTTAAATTAAAATAAATCATTTATTCAAATAAAAGTATTTATTTATTTGTTTTTAATGTCCTGAACATATATTTTCAGAATAGTATAGTACAGTACCAGTACTAGTACCACTCACTGCCGCGACGTGGCGACAGCGCGTTAGCCTTTCTCGTAAGGAAAAATCATCTCGTATTAGTATAAGAGGCGAGCCGATATGACCAGTGCTGTCCGAGAGTGGCCTTTGGTAGCACGGTCGCATAGGAAGGGGATGACGCACACAAGCGAGCGACCGTGTCTGTGCGCACACGGACACTTTAATTTTTTTCAATTAAAATTCAAAAATTTATTTTTGAAAGTGTTATATTCAAATATATCATTTATTTGATTATTTATATTTAAATAAATCATTTATTTGAATATAACACTTTTAAAAATAAATTTTTTACTTTTAAAAAATATTTGTTTAATTTAAATTGCACATTTTGTAAATTCTAAACATCCTTTTTTTAAGTTTAATAAATTTTTTTTAATTGAAGTAAATGTTTTTTTAATTTCAATTTTTGTTTTTTGAGATTAAACTGCTAGGTTTTTTCTTTAAGTTTATAATTTTTCGAAATTAAAGAATATTTTTTTAAATCAATGAAATATATTTATTTCCTTTAAACAAATATTTGGTTAGGAGTATTGAAATAAATGCTTTTTTTAAATCAAGTATAATTTTTTTGATTTTAATAAATTTTTTTTCAGTGCATGTACTCAGAAAGGCGCGTGCCCACGTGAAGCTTTATCTTCCTTCTGTTGTCGCCGTGGGTCCTCGCTATTGCAAAATCTCAATAGAAATGTTCAAATGATAACTCTACGAAAAAAAATCGTAGAGACCTCGCGTTGTTTTCGTCTCGGAAAGCCCTTTCGAACGAGCTCTCATTCAACCCCACATGCCATTTAAGATATTTTGGCTCCCCCCTCTCTCCGGAGGTGTGGAGGTGGTTGTTTTTGTGGTTATAAAATAATAGACTTTGTGATCCCATTGCATCCCTATAAATTTCAATCCTATATTACAAACTATTCAAAAATTGGTAATTA